TTTTTTTACTTTGTGAACAGCATTGCGACATAGGAGCGAAAAGGGTAAGGAAAAGGAGGTGAAACCCACCCCCAGGAATGACGGGACCGACGAACCCGAAGGAACATGGAACCGAACCCAGGGAGGGGTATACTCGAAAACAACAGGAACACAGAGGGAAGGAACAACCCCACTCTGAGGAACTGCCAGCCCCACACCAAAGGTACAAGGACCCAAGATGGGCAAACGGGGCCGAGGCCCCCCAGGTAACCCCTCCCTAACCCCGGGAACCTCTACGGCTTGACCCAGGGCCGAGCCGCACCCCCAAAGCCTCAGTTTAACAAGGAAAAGCCGGGGCAGCCGTGCAAACACTAATGAAGGGAGCCCACTGGTCAGACCCATACTGCACGACAGGAGGAACCGACTCGAATGCCTCCGCCGCCACCCCGGAATAGGAAAACCCCCGAGACCGCCCGAGTCTCAACTCAACCAGACCCCGCCCCAACCCCGAAACCCTCCTATGGTTCGGAGCAGGAAGCAAGGGAGGAAGTGAGTAGAACAGAAGGGGAGGAACAAGAAGCGGAAGGAGCCAGAGCCGAAGCGACCCCCACCCCCAAGTCCAGACCCCATCCACCAAAACGAGGCAGCCTCGAGGCATCCGGGGCCGCAAACCAAGAGCGTTGCAGCAACACATACCCAGCAAGCAATGCCGCAGCCGCCTGCCCCAGATTATCAAGACCAGTGGCCTAGGTGAAGGAGAGCGCGTACCGACAACAAACATTGGACGACTCCGGGTCACAAGTTACAATGACCCAACAGGCAGCATGGCGGAGGCACAACCGGTGAGTGTCACCCTGAGACAAGGGGGCAGATCAACCGACAAACTCGCAGGATGCGAGGGGGACTCCGGGGTCACACCTAGAGGACCACGGAGCCCCCGTGGGGTTTCCCAGGGCCCTTAGCCTTTGGTACACGCTAAGGGAAGCCCAGGCAGGGTACCGCGAACCGGCGCCCAAATCTATCAACAAACTGCTAAAGCTGAACCCCCGGGACGTGTCCACTCACGGGGGCCAAGCGGGGAGTACCGCCAACAGAAGAATTCGAAAGAAATTCACCTAAAACAGGAAAGGGGAACCATAGTAAAAGCAGACCCCCACAAGGCAAAAACAAAAACAAAAGAAAAACCCCGCAAGAGGACAACGTACCCAGGCGGAACAGAGCCGGCCGCTGTTAATGGTGAAAACTAGCTGTGCAGTACCCCGTGCCCCTACCAGTGACGAAAACTACCACCTACCCAGAGACAAACCAGGGGAACAAAACCCCAGCCGACTCCAAGGGCGGCCCAGTACCGAGCAGTAAAGGACACAGCGGAGGTAGAACCCAAGGTGACTTGTGGAAGGTGGCCCCAAGCCCCAAGGGCAGTACTTACAGGGTACCTAGGGAAGATAGCCCTAGGCACATGCAGCCTGAGTACCGTGGAATCTTACTCCTGGCTCACACCCCACCGGTAGAGACAGTCCACACCACAAGGCACAGAACTGAATCAAAAACTGGAGCCAGAGGCACTTGACCAGCCAGTAATACCATCAGCCAAGAACTGCCAGTTGGATCGCCGGCGTGGAAGGTCTGGGGCTTCCCCTTCCCCCTCTCGGGAAGGGGGGGGGGGTTGCGCAGACGGTGGCGCAACGACGTGATGACATAATGCTAGTTTGATAATTTTGTTTGGGGAGTTCTGTCCACTCGATCGGCTTTCGGTAGCAAAATTTTCACCAGAATAGGGGTTTGTTTTGGGGCGCCTACTTTTCTGGGTGCCTGTCCAGGTCGATGGCAGACAGAATGCTCCCAATCACAAGGGGGTTTCTATAGGCCATTGCTCCTCGCGCCTCTCTGAGGGGGCCAGGTTCTGGCTCGTGGTCCCCGGTAGGCTAGAACTCCTAGCACTTTGACTGATGCCAGAAAGTTATACATATCCATTCAGCCTGGATAGCTCCGGGGAGCCGACGGGGCTCCCCCTAGAAAATCAAATTATGATTCTCCATCTTCTTTGTGCACTGATCATGACAGCTAGCAAATTGATATCCAAACTGATTGGAAAAATTTTAAGCTTCATTGGGTTGAACATTTTTGGGTGGGATTCAGAATTATTATTAAACAATCAGTGCTATTTTTGGTTCCTGTTCTATATTTATCTTTACATCTTTGTAGTATCGTGTCAACAGGTCAAACATTGCTGTTTACTTATTTGTGTATTTACTTGCAATAAATACACAAATAAATAAAAAGCAATATTAATATTAATTTATTAGAGGTCTCACTTGAAATTATTGTATTCAGTTAGTTAAATAATTTCAATTGAATTCGATTACGGATACGTCATGAATCAGGATTCCATTGGTTTACTGCCATGTGTTATTGCTAGCCATGAGCGTGGCTCTTCTGAATGTCACTTGACAACCTACACTCCCAACAAAGGCTTGAAGTTTCTAAAACAGTATAGTGCAGAAGATCAAAAACTGATAGCAAAGTGAAGTGAACTGAACTGGGATGGAGAATCTCAAGTATGCCTCCATCATGAAGCTTTGCTGTTGACGAAATATGAATTTTTGCAAAAATTTGCTGCAATCCCTTCAAGAAGAAATGCCATGTAAAGCGAAAAGATTTGCGACCAATCACAGTAGCTACTGCAGAGGATAATCCTAGGATAAGACTCCACATGAGGCTTGGGAACCTGTCAGACACCCAACTAACAGGCTTGGGAACCTGTCAGACACCCAACTAACAGGCTTGGGAACCTGTCAGACACCCAACTAACAGGCTTGGGAACCTGTCAGACACCCAACTAACAGGCTTGGGAACCTGTCAGACACCCAACTAACAGGCTTGGGAACCTGTCAGACACCCAACTAACAGGCTTGGGAACCTGCGAGTGTGTGGCCCGCCCGTGGCTAGCCTTGCCTGGCTATCGAGCGTGGCCCCTAGGCGATGGGGTTGCCAATGTTTTAGATTGGTAGTAGCTCTGCCACCACGGACCAAAGCAAAGATTACACTAATAATGAATAAATTTGCCTTCTGCAAATTGCCATGCTCTGGATTTGACAGCCTGCAATAGCCTACAATATATGTACGCCTCGCACATAAAAGTGTCATTTTCAGTCCTGTGGCTGAACTAGGAATTCAGATCCCAATCTAAATAAAAGTTACTCTTGTACAGAAAAATCTGCTCTATTGAATGGTGTCACTCAAAACCAAATTGGGAATGATGCATATTGAGATATATTGGCAGTGATATTAGCATGGATTGGTAACTAAATGGCTACCCAAACTACATTTTTGATTACACTGCTGTATTCTGCACCAAAAGATGCCCTGGTATGCCAAATTACACACCTCTCTGGGCACTAATTGTGATTTAACAAAGAGTCAAAGTTGGTAATTTTTGTGGTATTTACGCATTAACGGGACAAGAGCCCATTCAATATGGACCTGTTATTCAAGAACCAAAGCAGATTGAGCTCTAATATTTTGCACATTTTCATTTGGGGTCTAGGGCTACTTTATTACAAAATTCCATTAGATTTAGAAAGGGTCGAGTGGGAGGACATTGGTTAATTCACATGGAATGACCCATAAGTGATCTACCAGATGGAATACAGAATTATATGAACATGTTTGCTGATGATGCAAAGATACTTGGGAAGATAAGAAACTTAGATGATTGGCATGCCTTTCAAGAAGACCTGGATAAAATAAGTGTATGGAACACCACTTGGCAAATGTAGTGCTCCATACACATCCATTTAATGGGAATAAATGCCATGCCATGGAATGTAAAATAGGAGAAAGTAGATCACACAAAACCTACAAAATTATGTGAAAAGGCTTTAAACAAAATTCTGATAAAGATCTAGGGGTGGTTCCGGATAGAAAATTGTCACCTGAGGACCATATAAGGAACATTGTGCAAGGAGCCTATGATTTGTTCTCCAATTTCAGATACCTGCTTGATGGGGTTCTGGGAGTTCTTCTACTCCCCCAAGCCCAGTGCGAGTCAAGTCAGGCTTGACTTGTGAAAGCTTGGTCCACCAGGCTGTTGCTTGGAGCGGCCCGCAGGCCCACACACCCAACACAGCCCAGTTGGTCTGGCCTTCCTTTTAGAAAAAAACTCAAGTTTTATCTTGAAAATGTCCCCGGTTGTTCCGGCAATATTTCTTATACTCGCTGGGAGGATGTTAAACAACCGTGGACCTGTGATGTTTATACAGTGTTCTCTGATTGTGCCTATGGCACCCCTGCCCTTCTATGGTTTTATTATGCATTTTCTTCCAAATCGTTCACTCCAGTATGTTGTTATTTTACTGTGTAGATTTGGTACCTGGCCCTCCAGTATCTTCCACGTGTATATTCACAATTCCTTTTAAATATAGGGAGGGTGAAATACTGAAGAAATTGTCAACAACCTTTATGAGACCAAAGTTGGAATTTGCAGTGAATGTATGGTGCCCATATCTTGAGAAACACACCAGCAAACTGCAAAAGGTGCAAAAACATGCAACAAAATGGCTTCTAGAACTGAAAGACAAGAGCTACAAGGAAAGGTTAGAGGCATTTTAAATATGCCAAAGCTAGAAGATAGAAGAAAAGTAGACAACATGATGACTAAATACAAAATAGTAACAGGAATTGATGAAACTGATAAGGAAGAATTCTTGAAACATGGAACTTCAAGAACAGGTGGTCTTAGATTTAAGCTAAACAAAACTGCCAAAGAAATATAAGACTTTCACAAAAAGAGTGGTAGATGGTTGGAACAAGTTGAGAGAGAAGGCGGTGGAGGCCAAAAACATGAGTAGTTTCAATGCACTATATAACAGTGCTGGGAAAATGGAACACCACGAGCGTAGCTCTCATCCTGTAACTACACTTGGGTAATTACACTTAAATCATTATTGAAACATGAGAACCTTACTTTAAATAGTACACAAATGTGATAATACACAGTAACACAATGATGTTTGACTTACTGTGAGCCCTCGAGCCAGAAGATCAGCGACCAGGTCATCATAACCCTTAGCTGCTGCCCAGTGAAGAAGTGTGGAACCAGCATGAAACTTAATTATAGGTTCGACCCTTTCCAAGCCTCGTTCAGTACCTGGAAGAACCACATCTTAATGTTAGAAATACAAAACTAACAATTCAGTTAATCCCACCCTTCCAAATGTAAATCTTAATGCCAAGACATACGTGATTCTTTCTGAATAATATACTTCAGATGAATACAAAGGAAACCTCCAAAAAACCATACAACCACAGCATTTTTACTTTGATATTACAGTTTACATTCTTTTTAAGGAGAAAATATAGCTTTGTCCTGCTCATTATTTACAGATATACATTAAATATGACAATAATATTTCAGTGGGGTACTATGATAATTTTTATATTACAAATTGTCAATACAAATTGTCTTTCTAGGGTAATTGACAGAACATGCAATTATCAATATATTGATAACAATAAACCCAGCATTAAATATAATGAAATGCTTCTGGATGGGGGTCAGATGGTTCCTTCAAGCCATCTCACTGAGATTGCTCCATGCAAATGGGTCACAATGAGATGTTGGAGTTCTCTATGGCCTACCAGGCACCTACCTGGCCTACCAGGCACCTACCTGGCCTACCAGGCACCTACCTGGCCTACCAGGCACCTACCTGGCCTACCAGGCACCTACCTGGCCTACCAGGCACCTACCTGGCCTACCAGGCACCTACCTGGCCTACCAGGCATCTACCTGGCCTACCAGGCACCTACCTGGCCTCTCACAGAGGCATAGAGTAAGTGACAATTCCCCACCACTCTGGGAAAGCATCCAGAAATTTAGTTAAGCTTTACAGACAACTGGAGGGATAACAAAGACCTAAGCCATGATATAGCCAAAAGAAGAGAGACACTCAAAATTAGTGTGAAAGAGACATCCAGAATTAGTTATCTTCCTTGCTCAGTTCTGGAAGATGAACAGTCCACTGATGAACTGACTAACCAGGCAGGGAGGGGAGGGAGGGAGGAAGGGAGTCAGGAAGCCAACGGGACTCATCCAGAAAGGGGGCATTTCATTACTGAGTTTCTGGAGAAACCCCCAGTGGATCCCTGAAGATATCCACAGGGAACAAAATTGGGATTTACCAGGGATGAGAAGTGACATGTATTAGGACAAAGAGAAGACTTTCTGCTGGGAGACATAGCCCAAGGTAACACATGACAAACTAGGACCAGGGACATTACCCAAATATGGGGCTGGCAGAACAGGCCAATGCGCCTCTCTTTCCCCCACTGTCACTTTCGGTCTGTTTTGTAAGCTTTCTCGTGCATTCATTCACCTCTGCCCTGCTCATTCACCGCCTGAGCTGTCTTGGTCATTGGACTAGGTTCTTTCTTTTCATTCTTCTCCTCAGTTTGTGATAGCCCTTTCAGGTTCATGATTGGTTTTGGAATGAATTGTTTTTGTTGGGCTTGGCCTCTGGAGGTCAGGTTGGGGAGCTTCTTTCTCTTCTCTTGCACCGGGAGTTTTGTTCTGGTGGTCCCGGTGGTTGTTTTGTTCATTTACAGCTGTATCCTCCTTTTCTGGCAAAGAATGAGACGGCGGGCTTCCAAAGGAGTCCGTTGGTTATGGAGGCTTGATTGGTCAGGCCGGAGGTGCACCACATTCTGTATCTGGTAGCTGTTTTATGCCGCTACTTGCGGGTCACAGGTTCTGTGTCGGTGAATATTCTCTGGGTTGATCCAATTTCCCTAATTCCCTGTTCCAGGGCTCGTGTTTCTTAGGTTGTCAGCAGTCATTAAGTCTAGCAAGCTTGCGCTCTACCCTCGCGCCCGTGATGTTAGGAAGTATGGCACTCTTTCGGCTGTCTTTGGCAATATGACTTGGGATGATATTTGGACACGTGGGTTTTGGAGGTTGAACAGGATTTTGGCTGCCAGATATCTCGTGTACTTCCCAGTTCCTCTGCAGCCTTGTGTGACTTTGGGGTGCCTGTCATGGCCATCTGTCTCCTCCCGCTATGAGACCTGCAGTGCTGCAGCCTTCCTGGTAAGTCCCTGTTTGCCTTTTCTGTGGGGTGGTTAGCTTAGGGAGCTAATGGGGTTCCTCATAGAAAACAAGCGTTAAATGTTATGAAACCAATTACTGGGAGAGTCCCGGAGGCTCCATGACACCCTTCCTTTGTTCGGTCGGCAGTTTTCATTATTCCAGAATTGAATTGGTGGGTTACCGGCTCATCCGGGTCAGGAAGGGGGAGGGGGGGGGCTAGTTGGATGTAATGCTAGTTTCTTTTTTTTTGATGGGGGAGGGGGGGGGGGGGCTCTTTTGAGGACATAGCTTGCAGTTTCCAAAATGACAATGGTCTGTTTTGATTCACCTACCTTTCCAGATGCCTTTCCTGGTCAATATCAGGTATGACATACTGTACTTTAAATGTAAAGTATTCATAGGACATTGCTCTCTGTGCCTCTCCGAGGGGGGCCAGGTTCTGGCTCAGGTCCCCGGTTGGCAACAAGACCTGTGACTGATGTCCCCAAATGGGATAGCACTATATCAGTGGGATAGCTTCAGGGAACATTTGGGGCCCCTCTCCCCCCCCCTACAAAAATATAACATACTACTTTAAAACATAAAAATATTGAATACAAAGGCTACCTTTAAAAAAAAAAAAAATTTATGAAGCATTCAGTAAGCCATTCTAAAATCAAAGTACTCATGCAAAACAAAAATAAAGCATTTCTGATACTGTTCATCTCTGCTTCCAAGGATAAACACTGATCAATCTATACCAGCCATCAGCAGCTCTCATCAATTACCACACACACACACATCAATCTACGTCGTTCAAACACAAAGGCAGAGCACACTACTTACGGCACAGTCCTGCAGGTCAGAAAAAACATACTTCATTAATGGCACAGACAATATATGAACACCATAAAACTAACAATACTCAACTCTCATACAAATAAATATTTAATATTGTACATTTGAATGATACAAATTACTTTTATTTTCCACATGTTCAAAATAACTACAAACAACAAACTATAGATTAATAACACAAACAAATATTTAAATCAAATCGATATCTTTCCTTAATTTTCCTCGTCAACATCAGTACACTTGTTACTATCCTAGAAAACTGAAGTGCCATTAACTTGAGCATAAAAACTAGGAGTATTCTAATTCCAATCTTTGGATGCAAGTTTAAGCTAATACTAGTACAATACTGTAATCTAGAGTTGAACTGCAACAGCACAAAACAATCAAGTACAATTATTATATGACACTTTGTAACTCTTCTACTATTTAATTTGCTTACTTTATGTTGTATTGTTAATTAAGAATCCCACTGGGTTATATTCTCACACAAAATTATAGTCTTCATTAATGACTAAAAATTCACATTAGACCACAAAATCCTTGTTATAGCACTACCTGAGATTAGAGTCAAATGGATGTGATAAGGAGTGAAGGAAATAATGACGATGCATTGACTATCGTACCATGTTAGTAATGACATGGACTCAATAACTGCCGAGATCAGAGTTAATTTCTAATTTAGTTTAACTGAAGCTAGTCACTGAAGAAAAATCGTATCTGCCCCGCTTATAGTAAGACTTGACTGGTTTACCGATATCAAGCCAAATGAGGGAGATATGCTCCTTCAAATGAGGGTCTGGGGCTCCCCCCTTTCCCCCTCCCGGGGAGAGGGGGTTTGCGCAGACAGCGGCGCGGCAATATGATGACGTCATGTTCGTTTGCTAATTTTTGTTTGGGGAGTTCTGTCCACTCGTTCAGCTTTCAGCAGCAATAGTTTCACCAGAATAGGGGTTTGTTTCAGGGCGCCTACCTTTCTGGGCGCCAGACACGGTCGATGGCAGACATAGAATGCTCCCAACCACAGGTGTTTTCTATAGGTCATTGCTCCTTGTGCCTCTGAGGGGTACAGGTTCTGGCTCGTGGTCCCTGGTAGGCAAGAACTTTAAGCACACTGACTGATGCCAGAAAGTTATACATATCCATTCAGCCTGGATAGCTCCAGGAAGCCGACAGCGCTACCCCCCAGAAAACACCGACTTACTTTGGCCATGGTGGAGTGAGGAAATTTCACGATGACGCAACAATTCATGAGCATTCTTGGAGCAGTTGCCCCATAGTGGATGGCCAGGCATAGGGCAGGAGTTGCCACAAATATATTTTTATATATTTATTTCAACGTCGCTGATTTGTTTTTCACTGGTCTTTTAGGAGTAATATTATTCAATAATAAATTATATTATTCAGTATTATTTGATAAATTGATATCAAATTTGTATATTAATTTATTTATATGTAGCCAAGCTTGTAAAACGTAAGGTAGTCTTTAAAAAATTACAGGAAAAGATCAATTTTTAAGGTCCCACACAGGAAGATATTCAGCCAGCCTCAAAGAGTATCCGTCTGTCTGGAAGAGATTCAGCCAGCTTCAAAGAGTGTCTGTCAGCCAAGAAGAGATTCAGTTATTCTTGAAAATATCTATGGAAAACACCACCATGGAAACCCCTAACACTGTTCATCTATGCTACTTTTATCAGATGCATCATCACTGAATGCAGAAAACGAATCATCTGTGTATCATCTAAGTAAATTGGAGATAGCATAGGTGGGCCAGGGTGGCACTCAGAGCTACAACTGGATACACTTGCTGTATCATCCTCATAGGTGCTCTATCAATTGCATCCGACCTTTGTATTAGGTCCTTATTGCGCCTAGCTTCACCAATATTATGACCCTTATGTCATAAGGGCATCCAGTGTAGAAGATTTCTGGCAGCTGCTGTTTTGCAAGCTAGGAGGATAAGGTTAGGTGCTCGCAGCATTGTAATCTGTTGGATACCCTGGAGTTAGCCCCCTATGGTATTTAACACTATACATAGTGGTCCGGTAACGACGCAGCATTGCGTTGGCGGCGGCGGCTTCGGGAGGGGCATGCCGTGGTTTTGGACATTACATGCATATACCCCTGTAGGGAATTTCATTACGAATACATTGATATCAAAATGAAACACCTAGGATCAGAATTGAGGTAACAAAGTTGAAAAAAAAAAAATACCCATTTTATTAGTGCCCACTGGGGTAACACTCCATTACATTCTCTGCTTGCTATGGGTGGTATGCTGGGCTTTTGGACTTTATATTTGCATACACTTCTGTAGGGAATTCTATTGCAAAAACAATGATACCAAAATGAAAGACCTAGGATAAGAATTGAAGTGACCAAAGTGAAAAAAGTGTACACATTTTATCGCTCTTGCTCGCTCCTGGGTAACACGCTCTCACTTTCTCTGTTGCGGATGGTACTCCGGGCTTTTGGACTTTATATGCCTTTAGTCCTGTAGAGAATTCTATTGCGAACACAATGATACCAAAGTGAAAAACCTTGGACTAGAATTGAGGTGACAAAGTTGAAAAGAGTATACGCGCTCCCGTGAAACGCTGAAACCCACCTGGGGTAGTGCGGGGCTCGCGTGCCCAGTGCACAAAAGTGTTAAGAGGCAGATGATAAGAGCCACCAATGGAGCCATTAGTGACCTCCACCTGGACTAAGTCCTTGCCTCCTCTTCATTTCCCTGCAGTTGTGATTCACCCTGCTTCTGGTCTTGCCCCTTCCCTGATTCAGGCCTCAAAGCATCCAAGAGTTTTTGAGTCGGCAAAAGGTTTAGCTTGTCTTTCTCTGGGGGGTAGCCCCATCCTCACTGACAGTATAGGTATAGGCACTTGAGCCTTCTAATCTTATCAGGGGTTTCATAAGGGCAATCACCTTCCTAACAGCCCTCACCTTTCCAAGCCTACTCCTTAGAACACCTTTCAGTCCTCCAAGGCTTCTGGGGCTGAGGATTGTCTATGTGTGACCTTCAACCTTTCTTGGACCTTGCTTACCTCTCCAGAGGGTCTTTTACTTCAAATCCTTCCCTATGCCTTTGCAAAGTGTGTATAAAAAAATCTGCATTTTGTTTTTCTTCTAATACTTCCACGATTTTATTAGAATCGTTGAGTGATTGAAAAGGATAGGATCTAACCACTCTAAATCCACGTTGACCTGGATTGTGAAGTTCACTGTTGTCTATAAAACTGTAGACTTGATTTGTAATCACACTTTCAAAAAGTTTTATTACTGTATGTGCAATGTTAGTGCAACTGGCATGTAACTTTTTGCCAAAGCTTTGCTACCTCCCTTGTGTAGTGGAGCTGTAAGTGCTGATTAAAGAATTTTTGGAATCACTTAAATGATTCACTCTTGGTTTGAATCTGGCTCCCAGTGTGTGTTTACTGGGCTTGCATGTGTGAGTGTCACTTGGCTGCACTTTCCAGGGGGTTCATGTAATGGTCCACCTCCATGATTGGCAGGTTTGGACTCGCCCGTCTGTTTGCACGTCAGCTAGCCAAGGTTTGGGTTCTTTCCCAGCTTGCCAGGTTCAGGTTTCCGGCAAACTGGCAGAAACCCCAGTTGGTTCCGATCCAGGTTTGGGCTTGACTGGGTCTTGTTTGGGACTCTTGGTCAGCTTATATAATTATTTATATACAGCTGTACAGTATATAATTCACTGTGTCGACGGACAGGAATATATTATATATATATATATATATATATATATATATATATATATATATATATATATATATATATATATATATATATATATATATATATTGTGACGATAATCTCCTTCAAGAGATTGAGCCTGCTCTTCCCTCCATAATTACGTCTTCACAATTATATAAAAAGACTATGGAAGAAATGTCCAACAACGACAACAACACCAGCAAGGCTTGCCAGGGTGAGCAGAAACGTATGCAGCCAGCCACCTGTTCGAACTCCAACCACCAAACTACCCGTTGATCGCTACGGCTCCGCTGATTGGTCGCCGGTCTGGCTGCACCTGCCTCGCCCCCCCCAATACTACCTGATGTCTGGGGTCGCCCCAACATCAGTCCTCAGAATGTTCAGTGCTTTCGTAGCCAGCACTCCTCCCAGCTAGACGTTAGCGTGTACTGAGAGAGGTGGTGGCTTTAAGCCAATATTCCAGCACCTCCCACTTAACTTTTGTGTTGCACTTCTTGTTATTTTGCCTTAACGTAACTTTTCATTGTGTCATTTAAGTATTCTTATTATTTTGATTGATTTTATTATAAGAATTTGTTTGTGCATTATTTTCATGTTTTGATTTATTTAACGTAATTAAAATTTCATTGTTAAAGTTTACTTGTGTTTTGTGTGTCTTCTCCTTACCTTACCACAGACGAAGTTCCAGTTTTTCTATTTTTTTTTATAACTATGTGACGAGGCCATACCCCTAGCCTTAAACAGCCGAACACCAACGCGTTACCGTCACAAGTTATATGGGGGCCTGTCCTAGGAGCTTCACTCAGGTACTGGTGCCAAGTGGTAATTTATGGTAAGCGTATTTAACTTTGTTAACGTAGCTTTACTATTTTTCATTCAATTTCATTTTTTATAAGGTGCGGTGTATTGTGCATTACGAGAGTAACATATAGTGAAGGTGAGACAACTTTGGATTACGTGGTGACTGTAGGCCTCAGTCATACTCTTAATTGGTCATCTCTCCCTCCTTGTTATTACTCGTATTTACCATCTATGTCCCTTGAATATTTCTCATTCTGACAGATCATCATATTGGTACCCTGGTACTGTGGTCTGCCCCGGGTCAAGAGTACCCAATCTTCTGCAATCTGACTGTAGGAGGACAAAGAGGGCCATAGTTCCTCTAGCTCGAACTTTAGTTGCTGAATTGGGACCTCAGCAGCAGTTCTCGTCACCAGTTGACACCTCGCACCCCTACACGTCAGTCAGAGATGATGATACATACAACGGTAGGG